CTTTTGAACTAATTCATATTGATTACGACTTTAATTGTTTAACACTACATATTTTTGTCCTCTCCCACTCTCGCATTTTGTTGAATATTGGGTGTATTTTTTATTGAAGTTTTGTTATACTATTCAATGTTTAACAAACAATTGAACAAGGATTCGATCATTTTCTGTGATTTATTAACGTGCATATGTGTAAGAATGAGTCGTTAAAGAAGAAGTAAAAAATTTGTGGCTTATGTTAAGCATATTTATAAATTTTACCCAAAATCTATAAAATTCATGAAAATCTTTTAAAATCTACAAAATAGAAATCCATTCAAATCTTATGAAATCTATTAAATTCTATCAAATTTCACACAATCCATGAGAATTTATAAATATTAAGAAATCTATTAAACTCTGAAATGGGGACACCCCCGGTAGACACAAGAAAACCAAGCAAAAGAATAGACAGTCCAAACCCCCACCCCCCCAACTATAGCCAAGCCCAGTGCCACCATTGTCACCGCAGCCAAGCCTTAGACTCACAATCCAACAGAAATGTGCCTTTTTTTTTTTTTAAGAAATCAATTCAAAATGCCCAATAAATACATAAAAGAAGAAAAGAGTTACCTTTTAGGTAGAATTACATTTTTCCGGTGGGGGGGGAGGGGGGAATAGAGATGAAGACGATAACCCACGACTACTGCATCAAGCAAAAGTAGTTGAATCTATATTTCTATCAACTGTCGAGCAATAATAGGGGAAGAGAAAGTGAGGAAGCGTACTGAGATGTGCAAAGAAAGAAGGATTGAGGAAGAAAGACAGGAGGCGGTGTAGATTAGGTTAGCATTTGAGCAAGGAAATTGTCTATGCTTGTGGGAGTGAGGATGACGAGGAAAAATAGAAGTTTTTAGAGGGTAGTGAAAATAAGTATGAAGTGAAATAAGGATATTAATCTAAAAATGTGAATGAAAAATATAGTCGTTATTGATCCCGTAGAAAAGATAAAAATTCGAATTTGATTGGTTGATATGATGGATAACGATGGTGTGGAATGAAATTTAGACCCTGTATGACAATCATTAAAAAGATACAGATAGAATTTGATTATTTGAATTTTATAATTTTTTTTTCAAAATTTGTAAAATTACTAATAAAAATACGTAATTAATTGAAATAATTTATATATAAATATTGCTATTGAATTATTTTAAGTTATTAATTGTGTAGTAATAGCCCTTGTTTGACCCTTTTTTTTGTGGGGGGGGGGGGGGGGGGGAGTGTATTTTTGAATGTATATTGATAGAAATGTGTAGTTAAAAATTTTTTTTTTTTTGAATTTATGTATAAAACTATTTTATTGAAAAATGTGTGATTGAAATGATTTCAAAACACTATATAAAAATCCATTTTTTTTCCAAAGAAAGAAGCTCAAAAAAGATTAAAAATAAAAATAAAAATTGTATCCAATATGATCTTAATTCAATTCATTTCAGACGCAATAATGACATCAAAGAAACAACGTTGTTTACCACTACAATCTCGAATGTGCAAAAATGTTAAACTATCAGCGACATCGTAACATAACATTATTTGCCTGGCGTGGCGCCGTACAAATGACAACAATTGCAAGAAGGAAATGAGCTCCTTCATATCCAGAGACGGATGGATTAGAAATTTTTATAAATAACGTTAGTCTTATCTTTTAAGAAACCTGCAAAAACCAATATAATTTATTTTTTATTTTTGTTTGGGTGTGGTGGGGTGGGTGTTCTGGTTTTCAAGTTGACGTTACAATTTTACTTTTTGCAACTATTGGAAGTACAAAAAAGAAAGGGTACCGCTATTTTTATCCACACTTTTTATAAGTACATTCACTTTTAAAAATAAATTTTTAGTATATTTTAAATCCAATGTAAATTTACTTAAATAGACATAAACAAAATTAAATAAAAACACAAAACTCTTAATTGATCCACTAATTTTTACTTTCAATTGGACTTCCCGGAGTAAGTTTTATATCGCACCAGGAACATTTTCTGCTGGGGTCTGTGACTTTTGAAGGCCAGTGCAAGGGCTCAATGACATTTATTTTAAAGGGACTCTAAAGGCTCCAACTGAACACGGCAAGTTCTCCACCGATACTTGGATCAGTTTTTGGTCTCTCGATGATTTGACAATGAAAGGTGGTGGATATTTGGATGGCCAAGGTAAATTTGCGTGGCCCTTTAATGACTGTTCCAAGAATTCAAACTGCGAGCCTCTTCCAATTTCAATTAGTTTCAACTTTGTGAACAATTCAAGAATCCATCATTTAAAATCGATCAACAGCAAGAACACTTATTTTAGCATCTTTGCATGCTACAGCCTGGATATCACAAAGGTTAAAATTACAGCCCCCGAAGATAGTCCTAACACAGATGGTTTTCGCATTGGCCTCTCAAGAAAAATTAAGATTTCTAGTGCTGTTATTGGGATCGGTGATGATTTATATCTATGTTTTAAAGTAGTCAAGATATTGAGATAAGTGACGTTTCTTGTGGCCCCGGTCATGGAAAAAGTGTTGGAAGTCTTCGAAGAAGTCACTAGGAGGATTATGTCTCCGGAATAAGTGTAACAAACAGCAGCCCCCCGGGGCACATCCAAGTTGGGGGAACAATCACATTGGGGGGCTCTGGAACCAAGCGTTGGGAGTTCGATTCCTGGTGGGAACCTTTGATCCAATAAAAGAGGAATTATTGAGGATCAAAACATGGACACCTTCCTTGTACAGTTTGGCTTCAAATATGAATTTTGAGTCTATTAAATTGTAAAATCTGTGAATAAGAATATGTAGTGTTATGGATGTATTTAAAATGAGATGAATATATAAAATTTATGTGGATATATGTTGTTTAAATGGATGAATTTAGTAAGGACAAGGTTGGAATATAACGTGGATGTAAATAATATTTTTTTTAAATTTCAAAATTTTATCAGAAATGAATTTAGTGTGGGATGTACTTATAAAAAGTGTGGATAAAAATAGCGGTACCCAAAAGAAAATCTTGAGAAAATAAACAGAAAAGAAAGAGAAATATGGGCCGAAGAGGGACAGGGAGAGAGCGTGTGTGTCACGTCCGTGGACCGTACTAATCGGCGTTGGTCTCCACGACGTTGGTGGTGGTTTTCTTTGGGAGTGTGCTGATGAGGGGAAAAAGTAAATGCAAGGGTGTGTTCGTTCAGGTAAAAAGTGAATTGAGTAAAAAACCCCATAAGTCCCTTAACTTCCATCAATGTTTCTATTACGTTCCTAAACTTTAAAGAAAAATACTTAGGGTCCTTTTGACTGTAAAGATGGAATTTGGGTGGAAAGAAAATGAATTTTAGGGAATTGAATTGCCCAAAAATTATTTTCCTGAGAATTCTCAATTAATGTATTTGATTGGTATTATTTTTCACATGAAAAATGTTGAAAAAAAAGGGGATAAAATTTACTAGTATTGAGAATATAATTTGTTTCCATTGCAAAATAAATAAATAAAATTATCTACCTTCTGGTATTCGTTTGACTTTATTTTATATGAAAATTGTCGATTAAAGAAAAATATTTTTTACAATTAGGGATACAATTTGTTTTCATTGCCCAAAAAAATTTAAAAAAGGGAACAATAGCCTGGAAATCAAAAAAAAAATTGCCCCTTTTCAAGAAAACCAAGAAAACAAATTCCATAGAAAAAAATACAATTAAACACCAAAAAAGTTGAAAAATGGAATTCATTTTCCATGGAATTCAAGCCCTATCCAAATTCCTAATTTGGAGTGTTTTTTCTGTTAAAAATATTTTTCAACTTTTGAAAATATGCTTATTTTTTCATTTTTTTTTTCAAGGGAAATATTTTTTTTGGGAAGTAGGTTTTTATTCTCCTCAAAAGAAGAAAAACATTTTTCTTTTCTAAATGATATTTTTCATGCCAATCAAACACACTCTTAATATATATCAGCATTTACATATTCTTGAACAAATTAATAAGGTGGTTTTAAATTGAATTAAAACTTTCAAAACCTCTTCATCACTTAAATGGTTGTTCTTATGTAATGTGGATTAATGGTTAAAAAAATTGACTTTTTCTCTTATTGGTGAGATTATGCTCCCGTTTTGTAGCAATTTTTCACTTCAAAAAATTATTTTTTTGACCGTTATTTCACTATTTCAATTGTCATTTTTGACTTTTTTCTTTCTCAGATGGGATTCACTTTTTTCTCTAACGGTCAAAAAATCAATTCTCATAATAATTACCGAACATGCCCCATAACTCAATCAAATATTGTCACTCATATGTTGTCAAAAAAAATTTATAAGCTATGATGTACATATAGTGCAATCGACTTTAAATTTCTTTTAAGATACCATTAACTTTTCAAACTTGATTCTCATCTACTTGACTTAATGTCCCACCATTTCATATGCTGATATGGCAAGCGCAGACCGAATGCTTGTTTGGAAATTTATAAAAAAAAAAGTTAAAAAATTAATGTTAAAGTCAATAATTAATTTTAATCATATAATTTATAAGACCTACAACTTATATAAATTTTTTCATATATTTTATCAACTTTTATTAATTTTTGCAAAATATCAAATTTTTAACTAAATCGAACAAGAGTTGAGCCCATTATGGAAACGAAAGAAAGGGTAGAATCATCCAGAATAAATAATTAGGTGGTGAGATGGCATTTATTATCAAAGGAAATAAAGCACAAGTGTTCATGAAGATGTATTGTTCTGGGATATATCGAGGTTCAGCCTTCAGTTCATATTTTATCGATCAATCCTTCCTAATTCATATCTTTGTTGAAAGAACTTCTTTTTGTAACACTGACACGACATCTCATGTCTTTTATTTTTTTTACCTGTAGCCCAAGTTATTTATCAAATCATTCTTATTGATTCTGGATTGGCACTTATTGGTTGAGCTAGAAATCAAAATTTTAATAACTTTTAATAAAAATTGATGAAATATGTGATTAAAAAGTGGAAAAAAATTGTAAATCCTAAATATGTGATTGAAATGAAGGGAAAAAAATGAGTTTTAGAAAATAAGTGTCAAACATGAGCTAGTCGGTTGATAAGTGTGACTTTTTAGTTTTTATATTTATCCAAACCTTCATTTGGGACTCATTTTACTATATAATGAGGTTAAATATTGACTATCGTAGGATAAATGCGATGCTGCAGGGTTATTGATGAAAAGAAGTGAATTGGCCAAAAAGACAAAAGAAGAACAAATATAAAAGTTTAGGGATTAAACTGCAATCTTTCGAAACTTGATTTGGACGAAGGATGTACAATCGAAGAGGATATTGATCAAATTTGATAACTTTAAAGTTGAAGGATTCATTAAAAGTATAAAAGGGACCTCAAGCTAAAAAGAATAAGAAAATTAAGGACCAAATTGAAGTAAAGCCAAAGTGTACACCTTGCAATCACAATGTCCCGCTGTAGGGTTCATGCAGGCGATACATCATGGCCATGCAACCGCAATGGCTATAACCATATGATCTCATGATTCATCCAACATAAAAAATTTTGTTTCATTTTTCGACTCAACATTTTTATGGAATGTATTTCAGGTTCCTATTTAACTTACTTTTTGAGGTCAATTTTCAAGAATGAAGCTTTAGAGAGAGAACAAGAGGCAATACGCAAGAATGGTTGATAATACATGGAGATTAAAAACTAGGACTTTACTACATGTACATTAAGATTTACATAAGGAATACATAATGTCCACGTGACACTCTATCATTTATCAATTTAAAATATAATAACTTTTTATTTAATCTTTTCTCTCCACGTCATTTTCAGTAACCGTTTATATACTATTTTTATGTACAAGTAGCAAAATCCTAAAGATTATTTCTTGGATTTTGGGAGAAGAAAAAGGTGCAAAGGGGATTTTTCAAGAAGAATTGAAGAGATTCATGGAATCGAGATTTTTCCTTCTTTTTTTTCCTACAACTAAAATTCGGGTGATATCTCCTTGTTAAAAAAATCTAGTTTTAAATTACTCAGCTAAATTTCCAGTCATTAGGATGAAGATGAGCCCTTTGTTATGAAGTTAAAATTCCAATTTCGAGACGTTGGAAATGTATTCTAATTTAATGTTTTCAATTACGTAGCTTCTAATTGAATTGATTTGCAATATTTGTTTGATTTGATAGAAAGAATAGATATTTTCGCATGTGATAATAATAGTTATAGATTCCATGAAGGATAAAAATATATTACTATGCCTCTCATGATTTAATTAAATGTTTTAATGCATCTTTAGAACCAAATTAAGTTTTCAATCCTCGTGTGAACAATATCTTATTCACACTTTATTACTTGATGCAAGATTTTAACAATTATCAATCTAATAAAAAACATGCGAACTCATCGAATTAACGAGATTAGTTGAGTTAATCAACATGTATCTAGGGCTTCATCTACTTGAATTGAATCGTTTATTTAAAACTTTAAATTATAAAAGAGTAGATGCATTAATATATTAGTCTTATAAATTTATAATAAAAATTTACCATTGTTTGGCTCAGATTTTAATCAGAGTCAAAATCAAACAATCACTACTAACCATATCTTTCTTGGTCCCACAACCTTTTAACCACACAATTAAAAAACTTTTATCAAAATTTACTACAAATCTAATTTTAATCTCCACCAAACACCTTATGATAACATATTTGTAAAAATAAAAGAAAATAACAAAAAATCGCAGTAACTGAAAGAATAGAAAATAAATTATTTAAAAATAAGTGTTATTTTAACCCTGTACGGAATAGATAGTTCATTGCTCTTGGTCCTCGTACTCTCTCAACTTTTTAAGTTTTTAAACTTTAAATTGACAATGACATTCTTATCTTTTAAGTTTTAACTTCCCTTTAGTTAATTTATTTTGTATTTGATAACAATTTATATCCAAAAAGTCAGTTGCAAATAGAGAATAACAATTTATTTTTTCGTCATATTTTAGAAAAATAAACAAATAAAAAAGTACGAAAATTTATTTTTTCCTCATTTCAAATAATGAAAACAAAATATTTTGATATAAATCATCATCACGGACAAAATGAACCGGAAGTTTGCATATAAAAATTCAACAAAATAATAATAATAATAATAATAATAATAATAATAATAATAATTACAACGACCAAAAATTGAAAAATTTGTAACATAAAAATTATGATGACCACCCATATTTTTATTTTCTTAAAGATCTCATTGTTTGCTCATTACAGCATTTTATTCCTATTTTTTTGGTAATCGCATCCTTATCTTTAACTTTAAATCGCATCATGTCTAAATGTCTAATTGATTTGGAACTAAAACATAGAAACCAATAGAAATAAGAAGTCTTGCTCTTCCCCCGACCTACCATAGAGGGCCAGCTAGCACCTTGGCATTGCCAGGGGAGATTTTTCTATTTGACCTATCATTGTTCCTTTTTATGAAAAGATCTATATTGTACTTAATGAAATGATTCTTTCTATATTGCAACATATATCTTAATCTTTTAATCATTTTATCTTCTATTCACTTTATTTTGAATATTTGAATATAAAATCATTTTATGATTTAATAAAAATAATCTGCAACATACATATCATATTTTCTTAATAAAATATCATATTCATCAAATGATAAATTTATATTTTTTAATTGAGATATAATATTTTTTAATTTTTCTAACATTCTTTCTAATAAATTATCTAATCCTTCAATTGTATATCCTGACATTTATCAAAATAATCATCATACAATTGTCCCTGCGATTCTTTTAAGATCTTAAAAAGGTTCATTCTAATTTTAGCAAAAGTTCAATAGTTTTACCTTAGGTTTGATCTAGATCTAGACCTGTATTCTTAGAACCGAGTGACCTTCGAGTTCTGAATTTGTAAACTGCTTCCTTCAACGGCCTCATGCATTCACGGAAGTATTACTATTTCAGCTATTTGCTCTCACTGTATCAACTTCTAAAGAATAAGATTCTAGACTTCTGTTAAAGAAAACTTTCTTTTTGCTAAAATAAGAAGGAAACTTTTTATTAGATTTTTCAAAAATTTATGGGAAAAAGATTTAGAAACTCATATTGATATCAAAACATTGGAATTTTATTTCTATCAGAATTTATACAAGACTTCTATTTGATAAAAAGGGATTCCCAGAAAAACTAGTTTATCAAAATGAGAATGGGCTATTGCTTACAACTCGAGAATTCAAGATAGAATGATCTGATTTTCTTCTATGGTAATGTCTCTATTTATACAGGTTTATGAGACTTTATTATATCATTGATTACATCAGCAAAGACACTCCTACCTCTCTATTTTCTTCATTGGGCCTACATCTTAATATGTTGGTTCAACTTTTCTATCCAAATAGTATCTTTTTCTATTATTGCTCTTTATCTTCAATGTCTTCACATGTATTATTGTCCTTCATACACATTTGTCAAAAGGTGCTTTGTCTTCTTCTTTCATTTCTTCACATGTAGCTCCCCACTCCCTTAGCTGGCAGGATTCTTTTATAGTGGTGGCACATCCTGAAAACTGATGTATATCAAATCTTGTAATAGTCTTTTAAAATTTCTAATTTTGTATATCCTCCATTGGATACCAGTATCCAATTTTTATATTGGCATAAGCACGAGAATTTTTTATCAAACAAATTTTTGACAATGTTGTAAATGGCTTTAATTCCAAGTGCTCTTCTATGTCTGATCCATGATTTTGTCACTGTTAGGACTTTTCTATTATTCTCTGTAACATTAATTGGAAATTGGCTGCAACATATCCAATTGAGTTTATGTGTTCAACTGGATAGTAAACAACTCCATCATATTCTGGACTGATTGAATAGAATTTTAAAAATATTTTTCTTCCTTTGACAAATCTGGATACTTCTTTAATGAATATGTCATCAAACTTTGAAATTTCAATAAAATCTTTTCCTGGATAAATTAAATCCATGAATCCATAATCTGTCATAATTTTTATAAATGAAGGGTCACCTCCTTCCATGACTGTTATTCTGGGGTAAACATTTTTTCCCGAAGAAATGAAATATGAAACACTTATTTTTATTTCATAAGCGATTTTGATTATTTCGACATATTTTTCTTTGTTTAGATCTAAAGGAATTTTATCTTCTTGGTCTATGATGCTGATTGTTTTGGTATCTCTTTTATCTCCATGTATCATAACTTTCTTGGTTGATGATACAGAAATGGAATCTCCTTTATTATCAATTGATATGTTGTCACGTCTAGGTCCATTGCTGCTTCCAACTGTTCCTGTTTGGTATTGATTTGAAAAACTCATTTCTAAGCTTTTTGATATACCTGTCTCAGACAGTATATCTTTTAGTTGTGCTGCAATAGTATCAACTTGATTTTTGAGTTCTATAGCATATTTTTGATGTTCAGTAGTGATATTCAACAATATTTTTATATTTGAGTTGAACATCTCTGAGACTTGGATTGCTCCAGAGTTTATATCTTCGGATTCTTCTTTAAGAAAATTCGTCTTTTTTTGTAGGTGTAGGATAGATTGGTATAATTCTAAGACCTTGACTTTATCCATCAGCAAATTCTATGTTTCTGCTGAGAAAATCTACAAGAAAATTAGTAACTCTTTTAATATGGACTATATCAAAATTATAAAATGCTAAATAAGCTTGTCATCTATGAAACCTTCTGTATTGTGGTTCTGAGGGTAACTTATTCTTGACTAATCCTGTAACTTGAGAATTATCAGTTTCAACAATAAATTTCTTGGATAATAAAAACAATGAGAACTTTTTTATTCCTCTAATAATTGTTAGTAATTCTTTTTCATGAGCAGGATAATTTACTTCTGCTTGGTTAAAGATTCCACTTGAGTATCTACAAATTTCATGAAGATCTGTTTTTAATATTGCTGCCCAATATTTATCTGAGGCATCAATATTAACAATCAAATTATATTTTTCATCTGGTAATCTTAACTTTAGTAAATTTTTGCATTCTTCTTTTAATGATTTAACTATTTCTGTATGTTCTTCATTCCATCCCTTAATATTTGTTTTTCTAAGTAAAACTTGAATTTTATGTCTTTTCTTAAAAAAACTTTCAATAAATCATTCTGTATAATTTAAACATCCTAAAAATTTTTGAATTTGTTCTTTGAATTCTAATTTATTTGAAAAACTTTCTATCTTTTTAGATATATGAGTCTGTAATTTTATCCATTTTTTATCTATTGAAATCCAAGAAAGTCTATCTCTTATTTTTCTATTATAGATTTCTTTTTAGTTAATATAATTCCTTCTTTTTTACATTCGTTAATAAATTGGACTAAAAAAATTTTATGCTCTTCTTTACTATTAAAACATATTAATATATCATCAATATAAACTATTAGAAATTCATTAAACTTTTTAAATATATTATCCATCTTTCTTTGATATATTTGTGGTGCATTTTTCAAACCAAATGACATAACTAACCATTCATATTTTCCTTGAGGTGTGCTAAATGCAGTATATTGTATACTATCTTCTTCCATTTTTACTTGCCAAAATCCTGATTTACAATCAAATTTAGAATAATATTGTTTTCCTCTTGCAAGATTTATTAACACTTCTTTATTTCGTAGAAAGTAACCATTAAATTTAGTATATTTGTTTAATTTTTTATAATTTATAACCATTCTAACTTTTCCTCTAACTTGTTCAGTGTGTTTCATAACCATAAAGGCGGGACTACTATGAGATCTATTACTAAATCTAATAATTTTTTGTTCTAATAATTCTTTTATCTGATATTTAAATTCTTGTGTATCTTCTATAGTATATATTATTAGTCTAACTCTCATTATGACATTTTCTATTAATTCTATTTTGACTTTTGGGTGATAAGGTTTCCAAAATAATAATGGATTTTCTTCATAAACATTTTCTAATTGTTCAATGATTTTTTCTATATTTATTTCTATTCCTGTTTTTAGAATCTTTTTATATAATATTCTTTTATTTTTATTTCATTATTAAGAATTGATTTTTTCTCCCATTTATCACCACGCTGGGCTGACTGAACTCTATAAGATTTAAATTCTCTAGAAATTTTTAATAAGTGTCCACAAGGTGTTTGTAGCATTATCATATAATTATTTTGTTTATAATATTGAAATTATTGTATGAAATCATTTCCTAACAATATATCACATTCTAATTTATCATATTAATAAATTTTATTTATTGTTACTTGTTTACTTCCAAGAATTATATTAACTTTATCAATACTATTTATTATTTGAGTACTTTCTCCTCTAACTCCAGTTATTTTTATATTACTATTATTATTCCATGATTTAATTAAAAAACTTTTAATTATTGTTATATCACTTCCTGTATCTAGTAAAGCACAAGTTGTTATATTTGTTTCTACAATAGTAATTTGTATATACACAGCTAATGGAAAATTTATCTGATTATTTATCTAATTCTTTTTACATAATGTAGTTTGTCCATTATGAACAATATATAATATTTCTCTTTTTATACTATAATCTTTTAATCCATTTAGAAAACTCATTCCTAAAAGTATATGGGGATTTATATTCATACTTTTATCTATATAACATGGTACTAAAAGATCTATTCCTCCTATTTTTATTCGTACCTTAACTTCTAAATCTGTTATATGTACTTGTCCATCAAAATTTACATACTTATATGACTCAGTTTTATAAGTTATTAGGTCTTTATTTCTAATCTAAGCTATATGACATTCACTAACTCCTGTATCTATTAATATATTTGGTCCATTTATAATTTCTCTTCCATTATAATATTCTCCTTCTATTTTCATGTTTCCAATATTCCTATACAGTTTTACTTCTTTTATTTTGTTGATTTTTTCTAACTGATTTTTATTAGGTATTTTAAAATTTTTTGATCTTTTAATTAATTTTTCATCCTTAAATGTAATATTATTATAACATTCTCCTTTATTTAGTTATGTTATTTCAGGTTTATTTTTTGTTATATTAAATTCATATTCCTTTAGAATTAAACTTATTTGTTTATTTGGTTATATTATTTTACTAATATCTTTACATTCTTTATGAACTCCAATATATAGTTTATTGGAATAAATATTCCCATAATTAGAATTAGTAAATGTATATAAAACTCTATATTCTATAGTCATAATTTAATCATCTAGTTGCATGATATCATCCCTATGAAGTTTAGAGTGTAGTCCTAAAACTTTATTAAAATTTCTATCTTTTAATGATACACAATATTTTGGATAACATGTAAACGTAATTTTTTGATATGCTAAATTTCCTTCTATTGTTCCTAAATGACTATCTTTTAAGTTTATTATTCTTCCATCATGTAAAGTTATAGTTAAAAGTGATCTACCCCTTCTCTAAATAGTAATTTAAACATTATTTGTATTCCTGCTAAATAAATATATTGAATTTTTTCACTCTGTTCTTTACTAATCTTTGTTAATAACTCATCAAATGTATTTTTTGTTAAAATATTTATTTATGTTGTCCATAAGTTGTTCTTACATATATGATTTTTTCTATTTTGTAATATTCATTTATTGCTATTCTTTCTCTTTTCCAAATTCTATCATATACTTCCCATTTTCCTATTTTTAAGTCTAACGATAATTTTTGCAATTTTCTAAACTTCTTATTATCAAAAGTGACTTTTAATCCATATCCTTCTATTCCTTCATATTCTTGTATATTTATCTTATTACTTTCTATTTCTTCAATTTCTCTATTCAAATCCCGACCCATCTTCTGTTTTACTTATATATACTTCTTGATTATAATATTCTTCAATATCCGATATTTCACTTAATTCATCTTTTATTTCTAAATATTCTTTTTGTAATATTCTAACTTTCTTCACAATCCGGGCTTATATGACCTATTTCTCCACAATTTCAACATTTACATTGGCTTTTATTTTTCTTTTTATTCTTCTGTTGGTTATATGTGTTAATTGTTTCTTTTGTAATATCTTCTTCTGGGTTTTATATATTTTTTATTAAAATTTCTAATTTTTTTTACTTTTTACTTTTATATTTTCTTTTATTAATTCTTCTTTCAGGAATACATCCCCATTGCACAGGGATTTACATATCTTCACAACATATTTTAGTTAATTTTCCTAATTTTTTCATTAATTATCTTTGTTGACATATATATGCAAGTCTTTCAAATAAAATTTTTATTCTTGAACCTAAAGTTCTAGGTATTTCAGTATTATCTCTAACATATTTTTCTAATTTTATTTTAAAATATATTCCCCATGAACCTGGTAACTTATTATAATACATGTCTTGGTATACTTCTTGATTTTCATTACTATAGAATTGAACATAATAGTAATTTTTAAATTCACAAATATATTCTTTAATATAACACATATTACATATTGTTAAGTTTATTAATCAAAAAAATCAAATAAAAATTATCAAATTTCAACCAATATTTAATTTTAAGGACTAAAATAGAAGATTTCTATATTATGATGCTTTGCTATATAATATCCAAATGGAGGGCATTTTTGATATGTAAATTGTCTAAGGGTCATTTTGAAAAAGTAGCCATTTTGAAAATGTTATTTCCATATATTTCCCCATTGCCATGGCCATGGCCATAGCCCTGGCAACGTAGCAGCTCTATTTCTAGAAATAAATTTCAGTCATAATTTCACAACTTGAGTGACCAAATGAATACAAATATTGATTTTGAATCCGGATGAATTAAAAAGAACATGTAATTTGAACATACTTGGAAAAATTGGTAAACGGTTTATATTACTGATAAAATCTTATTTAAGTTTGAATTAAAATGAAATGCTGGAAAAAAAAATCATGAAAACAACTCAAATTTGTCAAGGAATTGTTATGATAACAACTTCTACAATAAATGAATAAGTAGAGATTAATAAAATGGTGTGGAGACTGTGCAACAAAACAGATAATTTTCATAATGAAAAATTATTCAACTAAAAATAATGGACGTTTATGTTAAGAATTTGAATAAGTCTATAGAACACCAAACCAAGTAATTTCCCAATAAATTTAGGGTGACTATAAATTTCATCGCTTCACTACTACATGAGCATGTTGCTAAGTAAAAAGATTCATGTTAAAAGAATTGAAAGACCTTGAAGTCAACCTACCACAATCTCCCTCCTTCGGTCGATCCCAAGTTTAAAGAACTAAAAGACGTTGATATCAACCTACCACAATCAGCCTCTTTTGGTCAAGCTTGGGATCGGTTATGAAAAACATAGAAAAAGCTAACAGTGTACAAAAGAAAAAAAATTGCACAATCCAAGTAACATGCATGACCAACCTTAGTTTAGATCAGCCGTTGTGTAGACCAAGAAAGAACCTCCTGTATAACAGGATATCAAAGCCTTTCCAAGTGAGGTAGGCTGAGGTAAGGCTAGCTGTGTGTGTTCAAGAATTGCGCTTGTGCAAAAGCTCTTCCTACAATTAAGATAAAATTACACTAACCGCGTTGACAAAGAAAAATTACAATTCATAGAGCTTCCGGTGATGTCAAATACGAAGGGCAAGAAAATCAAATAATTTTGCTTACCTTGCTGCTTCAAGTAGATTAGTGGCTATGCGCTTTCTCCTGTTATAGGGAGCGACCTAAATGGCTCTAATGCTGCAAACAGCAGGTACTGCCTCATCCTCACACAAAATTATTCCATCAATGCCTTTCTCTGACTCTACAGCAGAAGAATCCCTTCTAATGATTTCCCTCTCGAAACTGACATTGCCAAATTGAAGGGCAACCGAACTAGTCCTTGTTTATCATCTTTTTTGATTACTGAGTTTGGGAAAATCCTGTATGCCTTCTTTATTGATTCTGTAACTAGACATCCCAGATACCCTTTAGGAAGAAACAAATAGGTAAACCTACAATCGTGGATAAGGCATAAATTTTGAAATTTGCCAGATAATGGTTTTTAACTTGGTATTCTATGAATGAAAAAATAGTGTTTGCACTTTTCAGATAAAGGAACGAATAATGATTATAAAGACATTCAATATGAAACTCAAGCAGAGTAGCAAGTTGAAGCATTTGCATCTCAACTATGACTTCAGCAACACTGCGAAAAAACTGTCAAGATTTTGTGTGAGAGGCTCATCTGATGCTAAATGACGTACTTATTTCAAGTAAAGACTATTGAACTCAATGAAAATTTATACTTTCTCGAGTTGTATAATAGGTCCTCTCTCTGGACATGGTAGCTAAAATATATGAAAGTCCATTAATATAGTAAGCAAGTAAGAAAATAACAGGAAAAAATACAGTTCCCATGATATTGCTTTGCAGATATCTTAACAAAGAATGTAATGTGGAGAATTTATTCAATTATGCAAACCTCAACATACATAAAAAACCATCCCAAACCTTGAAACTTTTAAGATTTTCATTAATTAATTTCTAGTAAAGAAACATGCATCAGTTAATTTAATAATTAAACTCTAAGCAGACAAGGTTATCTTGGATTAATTTAATAATTAAACTCTAAGCAGACAAGGTTATCTTGGATATACAAAACAAATCCTTTAGAAGTATACAACCAAATGAAAAATTAGAGTTGGATCACTCGGTGCTAATATGGAATATTGATTGAAGCAGACAATGCACATATAAAGTTATGTTTTCTTTATCGTAAACTTTAATTTATTATCATGCATGTATCTCAGAAAGCTGTAATCTTCCATCATATATATATATATATATATATATAAGAATCTAAAAAGAAGCTTCATCAAGGAGCTCAATTATGGCATTTAGATATTTGAAGTCAACCACAAAGCAAACAACTCCTTTGATGGAAGTCAAATTTGATCTCTATACAAGATATATTATACATCCTTGGTCATGTCAAGAAAGCATATATGATTAAACATGTTACTCCACTGTACATAAAATTTCTTAACTATAAGAAAATAAATAAAAAATTCACCTAGAAAATTATAAGTTAATAGATAAACCTCGCTTACCACATGTAACGAATTTTTATTACAGAAATACAATAATCTAATACCTTATAACTACTTAACTTTCAGAAATTATTTTCTACTAAAGAAAGCACCTTCGTCCATGATGAATTTTTAAGACACTAAGTAATGAGAACCAATTATAGGAGAAACTCCCTTACCCCTTGTTATTATCTACTATATTGATGAATTTTAGAGGGAGAGCAGTTTTCGTATTTGTAGATCTTCAGAATGTATACGTTCATTGAATGCATTAAGAACTCTTACTAACAACTAAAGCTTCATTTTATTATCTCTATTTACCAACACGACTAAAGCTTCTTGAACTTCAATAAACAATTACTTGCAACTAAAGTTTCTTGAACTTCAATAAACAATTACTTGAATCCAGTATGTTATTTAGAATCCATATGAGACAAACATATATAATATTACAAAACAACAAAAAATTTAATTGACTAACAACCTTGCAGTTCTTATGGAGTATCCACCCGTCTCCAAGTTCCATTTCCATCATCTTGACAAGATCCTGAATCTGAATATGCACTATTTTTGTAAACATCTCAAAGATTGAGAAATTGAACTAAGGGTGTGTTTGATTACATTTATTTTCCATGGAAAATATCAATTTTCCATCCAAATTTTCACTTGGAGTGTTTGATTGCTATTTTTTTCCATGGAAAATATTTTCCAACTTTTGAAAATATGTCTAATTTTCCTTGTTTTTAAGGAAAATATTTTCTTTGGGTAGAGGTGGTTTTTATTTTCCACAAAAGATGGAAAATATTTTCTTTTCTAGGTAATATTTTCCATGTCAATCAAACACACTCTAAATGTTTGCCATCAACCAAAAAATAGAACATTTTGCAATTGAGTACCTTGTTTTGCTGAGTATGAGGATCATCTCCTTGCACCAAAATAATGCGCCCTCTTTCAAGCAAAGGCACATCAATAATCTTTTCATTTCGCCAACCTCGTAAAATCAAGTGACGTATAACTAAACAAAGACCAAAATAAGCAAAATATTATACACAAATCTTTGCCTGCATAATTTCTAGACCAACAACCTTAAATGAAATACCATGGATGTAATTCTTGTGAACTGTCTTGTGAATCCTCTCATAACCTTCATCACCAGGAGCATACTTGACCCCGCATTCTTTACATGTGTGCAGTAAAAAATTAGACTGACCAACCTCCAAGTGTAATTGGGCATAGTTTCTCTTTTGTTCAGAATCTTTCCAACACTTGGGCAGTCCCAAATATGTGAATTTCTCCTCTGAATCTTGATTAATTGATTCTTTGCAAATAAATTTACTATAAATTAAAACAGTTCATACAACCATTGAAGAAAAAAATCACATACAAATATATACGAAAAATGAACCCAAATTAGGGTACCTTATATTTAAAAAAGAAAAAAGAAAAAAGAAAAAAAAAGGGAGATTCAATCAAATTGACACGCACAAAACATCGACATAAAAAAATTACCTAAAAATTAGCACAACCAAAAAAGAATATCACTTAAAATGGACCTCTAATATTTGAACTATACTGAAAATATAGATTTTGAATTCAAGCAATATGGAATCTGGGTTTTGTACCTATCTAAGCATGCAGTCCTGCGCTTGTATGTGGTGATGATTTCTGGCCCTGTTATAATTTTTTAAGAATAATTGCCAAAATTGACAGTAAATGGAGACTGGTCTTCGTCTTCTTTTTGTGCAGAAGAATCGGGTTTGAAAAAAGCACTGATCTTTGATTTCATTTTTCAGTTTCTCTTTTGGCCTTTCGCTGTTTGATTATTCATGTAGTTAAATATTAGAGAATCGAATCAAATCAAATCGAATGCATGTGTATTCACAGTTTACTTAAATCGAATTCGTCGTGTCACTGGAGTGCAAGAAGTTTTGATCGGTGTTCGATTCTCAAGATACAATTGGTTAACGGTTCACGCTGCACTACGTTAATTGCCTGCAAACTAACTGTTATATACTCTATCTCACAAAAAAATTATAAGCACAAAGAAGAACTTGAAAATGAGAAAAAGAAGATTGTTGCTTAGAGGACGAAGCTTGCATTTCCCTTGTGATTTTTCAACCTAGAGAGACTCCTATTCATATCAATAGAAGAAAAGTTAGCTCATTAATCAAGGAGTTAAACCGTTAAACCATTCATTGATAAAGGAGTTAAAAACATGAAGGGACTTGAGTTACAACATATGAAGAGACTTCTATTCAATATTTTTCGTTACTTCTATTCAATATTTTTCATTCAATTCTAACAATCCCCCACATGAATGAAAAATAGAAACTAAGACTCAAGAGGAAAGAGAAAGTAAAACGAATTAATCCTGCATAGGATAGGTAGCATTTAGTTTTGAACCTTCCCTTGTGAAACCTATCGGGAATTACTAGCAAACCAGTGGATCTGATGCCTTGAACTGTTTCGCCATTTGTGTAAACCAAGACAATAGATTTCACATAGGACCATTTTAGTCACAGCATAGTTTTTACTGTTGTGTTCGTTTTGGCCATGAACACGTCGCCTGGTTCTGCAAGTGTTTTTTCAAGAATGTAGCCTTGCCAATCCTTATAGAAGCGGCCCCACTTCACACTCACATAGGTGACCTCTTAACTTAGTTTTTCACAACAACGCTTAATGGTCATTAAAAGCATCGCTTAACCTGCATCTTCCAATCACTGTGAGCACCATAGGAATGAGCAGAAGGATAACATTCTCAGTGATTTACACAAATATACATGTTTTAGTTGTCCCTTTGAACCTAGATCCTGGGATCTCCATTCAGCTAGGTTGAGTTTCCACCATGATACCTTTCAACATCATAGGCTGCAAGCCCATTCCCCTCGATGCTTTTACAACTAGCTCTCGAGTTAGCCTTTTGGTTAGCGGATCCGCAATATTATCCTTTGACTTCACGTAGTCCAGAGTGATAATACCTTGTGAGAGTAGTTGTCGAATGGTATTGTGTCGTCTTCGAATATGGCGAGACTTACCATTATACATATTGCTCTGTACCCTGCCAATTGTTGATTGATTATCGCAATAAACACAAACTGCAGGCACATGCTTTGACCATCTTGGAATATCCTCAACAAACTAGCAAACCACTCTGCTTCTTCAGTTGCTTTGTC